GATGCCAACGAATACCGGGGGTCCACTGTATTTCGTTGTGCTTAGTGCTTGTGGAACTGTGAAATAAGCTGCCATGGGCCCAAAGAAACTTGCTAGTGGTACCCCTGTGGTAAAGAAAGTGAGAAACACCATAGAAGTGAAGAAGGAAATAATACAGAAGTATGAGAGTGGTGTGAGACTTGTTGAGCTTGCCAGGATGTATGGGAAAAACAAGTCGACCATCGGTTCTATCCTGTCAAAGAAAGAACAAATCAAGGAAGCTGATGTTGCAAAAGGTGTTAATATGCTAACCAAAAAAATACATGGTGAGGCAGCCAGTTCAGACAAACGGGCGGCTGAGAAGTTTGTACAGGAGTTTAAGGAGTACATAGTGAAGAATTCAAACCTGAACAAGTGTTTAATTGTGACGAAACAGGCTTGTTTTGGAAAAAAATGCCAAAAAGGACCTTCATCACACAGGAGGAAAAGGCACTGCCAGGACACAAGCCTATGAAAGACAGGCTTACTCTTTTGTTCTGTGCTAATACTAGTGGTGATTTTAAAGTGAAGCCTTTACTTGTGTATCATTCAGAAAATCCCAGTGTGTTTAAGAAAAACAATGTCTTTAAGAACAATTTATGTGTCTTGTGGAAAGCTAATCATAAGGCATGGGTCACAAGACAAATTTTCAAAGAGTGGGTCTATGAAGTGTTTGGCCCCAGTGTGAAAAAATACCTCCAGGAAAAGAAATTGCCACTCAAGTGCCTCCTGTTAATGGACAATGCTCCTGCTCATCCTCCGAACTTATTAGACCTCTTGTCTAAGGACTTCAGTTTCATAAAAGTGAAGTTCTTGCCTCCTAACACCACTCCTCTCCTCCAGCCCATGGACCAGCAGGTCATTTCTAACTTCAAAAAACTCTACACAAAAGCAGTGTTTGAAAAGTGCTTTGAAGTGACCACAGACACTAAGTTGACCCTAAGAGAGTTCTGGAGGAATCACTTCAACATCTACAGCTCCATAAGCCTTATAGGTAAGGCTTGGGAGGGAGTGACTTCCAGGACTTCGAACTCTGCTTGGAGACAATTGTGGCCAGATTGTGTCCAAAAGAGGGATTTTGAAGGGTTTGAGGCTGACCCTGACCCTGACCCAGCTCACCCTCTGCCTGTTGTGGACTCTATTGTGGCATTGGGGAATACCCTGGGGTTGGAGGTGAGTGGTGAGGATGTGGAAGAGTTGGTGGAGGACCACAGGGAAGAGCTAACCACTGAAGAGCTGCAAGAGCTTCATCTGGAGCAGTATCAGACCACAGCTGAGGAACTTGCTTCAGAGGAGGAGGAAGAGGGAGTGGATGAGGTGCCTTCTTCAAAGATTAAGGAGATTTGTGCCAAGTGGAATGATGTCCAAATGTTTGTGCAGAAGTACCACCCTGAGCAAGCTGAAACAAGCCATCTTTGCAACAAGTTCAGTGACAGAACCATGTCCCATTTTAGGGAAATGTTAACGAGGCACCAGAAACAGAGGACTGTGGACAGTTATTTTGTGAGACAGGGGTCCAGTGACTCTCAAGCTGGTCCTAGTGGCATTAACCCTTTGAGGGTTTTCGTCGTACTAGTACGTCTTACACGTAGGGGTTTTTGACGTACTAGTACGCATAAATTCTAGCGGCCTCAAATCTCGCGCAAAAAGGCTGGTAGGCCTAGGTGTGAGAGAATGGGTCTGCGTGGTCAGTGTGCGCGGTAGAAAAAAAATCTGGGACCCAGTGGTGCATTGTGGGAATGCCCTCTTAGTAAACAATGTCCACCATGCCTCGCGGTAAGAAGCTCCTCACTCCTCGGCGAATTGGGACACTTTTGTTCCCCAGTGACAGTTCTAATAGTGATGGAAGTGCCAGTGAAGATGAGTTTCGTGGTTTTAGTGAGGTTTTGACCGAAACTAATGACCATAATATCGGTAATAGTGAAGAAAACCCAGACGACCCTCAGCCTTCCACCTCTGGTGCTGGGCCCTCGTGTTCACGTTCAGTTGTTCCAGAACCCAAGAGGAAACTTCTATTTTCCCAAATCCCAGACTCAGATGAGAGCATGGGTGATGATAGTGATAGTGAATATGAACTACAAGCTCTTCAAACTAGTTCCAGTAGTGATAGTGAAGTGCAATATTCCCCAGTGAAGCATCAGTATATACGACGATATATGCGCTCTGGAAGTGTGCCATATGCTATTCCAAGGGGAAGGAGTGTATCTCAGAGTACATCCCGTGGCTGTTCAACAGGAACAGACCGTGAAAATGACGAAGATACTGTTGCAATACAATTGGGATGGAAAATGTGGTTGTAGTGGTGCGGCGGTGAGGCACCAGCAGTGGGCCACACTGCCACCCACGACGCTGCCTCAGCCTGATCTAGAACAAAAGCCACCATCCCCACTCCCCAACCACACCAGCCTCCACAACCACAACCTCCACCAACCACAACCACCTGTCATTGTCAGTACCCACGCAGACTGCACTGGGAGTGGCAGGAAGCTGTTCAATTTTGTTCCAAATCCCACAGTTTGATGGCAGCCAAAAGTGGGATACGGCATCTTGTGCACGTGGGAACAAAGCCACTGAACGGAATGTTTCGAGTTATTCTTTTGACAAACCACTGATGAAAGTTATTGTAATGAAAGCAACACATATTACGGAGTTACACCATGGCAAACACATTACTTTCACAAAATCACGTCTACACCATGGAAGGGGAGGGCAATTGTGGGACTGAGATGTATCTTTCTTTGCACAATAAAGCTTATGCACATGTGTATAAGAACAAGTGAAATCATACTGGGTCAACAGACCCCCTGATTGCAAACCACCAGGTTCAGTGTTATATTGACAGTGAATCGATTTGTGCTAATGTTACGTATTGCCTTCACTTCTCAGATATAAAACCAGGTGACAGAACGGACTGGTTATATAAGATTAGGAATGTGTTGTGTATCTGAAACAGAAATTCCAGTACGCATTTTTATCCCTTCAGGATGCTTGTAATGACTGAGTCTTTGATTCTGTTCCAAGGAAGGACTATCTTTCAGGCAGTACATACCAACCAGAGAAACGCTTTGGTATAAAGTTGTTTGAGCTTTGTGATTGTTACATTGGTATTGTATTTGGATATTATTGTGTACACTGGAAGTTATACATTGCCAAAATTTCCGGAAGGTATGGGCATCTTAGGTGATTGTGGTTCGAACAATGATAGAACCATTACATTGGTTAGGGGCATAATATTAAAATACAGATAACTGGTAACAACAAGCCCTCACTCAGTGATTTTTGGAGTGAACATGACAGATGTGTGTGGCACAGTGCGTGCAAATCGAAAACAATGCCCAGGTTTGACGCTGGCACTCGTAGAGGTGGGTTGCAGGCGTTTTTTGCTGCCCAATGACCAATCTGGCATTTCGGTGGATGACAACGAGAATGTCTCCACTGTTGTCATTCAATTCACCCTAATGAAATGGCAAACAGTGGCAGGCAGCATAGAGAGAGAAATGATCCCATCTAAAACCTGCACGCTGTGAGAGATTACACCTTCAACATGCGTACAGTGGACATGGGACATGCAGATTGGGTTTGCTGATTGTGTTGCAAGAGTTATAAGTGGTACATCAAACTGTTTTTCCATTTCTGGACATTTCCATGGCTCATGCTTATAATATTGTATATGATGAGCCCAGCAAACAAACCACAGTACGGCGATTCTGTTTGTCTGTCATCAGGGACAATTAGTATTCACGTACCAAGGAACAGCACCTGCATTGACCGCCCCACCAAATTTTCAACAACTACCTGCTGTCAGAGCATGGGTGATCATTCCTGTAAAATGCCTGCTACTGCTTTGATGAAAAAGGCTCAGGAAGAGTGTGTACGTCTGTTACATACAAAAAAACACCCAAAAACAACGCAGAGGACACTAGTTTTTGTGTGAGGAGTGCAAAAAACCACTGTGCATGTCACCATGTTTTCAAAGAGTTCCACAGGGCTGCAGAACCTTCTAGTAACATTCCTGGTGATGTATATGTGTATTAAAAATATAGAAAAATAGTATAAACAACATTTCATTATTGTTTTGTTTGTGTAAATATTTCTGTAAACAAAATATATAACAACAGTGTTCTACGCCCTTATTTGTGTAGTATTGAAAAAAGAAATAACTTACACAATATCTGATCATGTTGGCCTCAGCGGCCATAAAAAGTTACTCAGAAAAGAAAAATTGAAAAATAATTGAAAATAGTACTTAAAAAGTAAAGAGAAAAATACCGGGTGACGGCAGTCGAGTGTTACCTATGTGGTTCAAATTTTGGCATTATTTCACACTCCATATCTCGGTAAGTATTGACGGTTAAATTTTTTGTTTAGCAATATAATGTTTAGAAAAAATTACTCTATTTTTTCATAAGAAAAAATAATTTTTTTTTTTTTGAAATTTGGCCAACCCTGAGAACGAGTTTCGGAGAGGGCCTGTCGACCCTCAAAGGGTTAAAAGACAGAAAAGGGAAATAACCCAAGAGAGGGCTTTACCTGAAGTCCTCATGGAGGGGGATTCTCCTTCCAAACACTAACCCCAACTCCCTCTCTCCTCCTCCCTATCTTCCAGATGCCATCACCAATCTTCAATAAAGGTAAGTACAGTAAAAATGTTATTTTATATGTATTACTATACATAATTAAAAACTATAGTATTTGTTGTATGTAAAACTGTAATTAATCTCTATAAAATGTATTTTTTGTGTGAATATTTTTGGGTTTCTGGAATGGATTAATTGTATTTCCATTATTTCTTATGGGAAATATTGCTTCGAATTTCAGACTTTCTGAATTTAGAACTAGCTCCTGGAATGGATTAAGATCGATTTTTGAGGTTCCACTGTACATACCTATTATTTTGTCTCACTTGCATATGTTATTACTTACACAGATAATGAAAATGTAGTACAATCATACCTAGAAAATTTGTTACAAACACTTCTTACCAGATTAACATGGCAGAATTCATGTTTCAGCTTGTTGAGCAGCATTGCATCGAGTTTCTTACTGAGGTTCACTTGGTGAGGGAAGCCACACTTCTTTAATAACCAGTAGAACACCTGAGTCACATCACCACCACCATAGTCAAGCCTCAGCTGTACATGAGAAACAAACTTTGGGTAAGCAAACCTCATCTTCAATGTGCACATACTATGGTAGTCATAACTGGACCATTATGAAGCACTTTGTATTGTTCACTTAGCGCTTACAGCCATAAAAAATACAACACAATAAAAACAACAGTAAAATCAATAAATAAAAGCAATGCAAATAAACACACAACACAAACAAATACAGTAAGGCCCCGCTTTACGGCGTTTCGCCTTACGGCGTTCCGCTAATATGGTGATGTCAAATTATGACCAAAATTTGCTATACGGCAAGCGGTCTTTTAAATACGGCGCCCCCACCCAGTTTGTTTACATTTTCCGTGACCACATCTATTATGTCAGGAAACTTTCCAAAATTTCAAGTGTTTTAAAGTTACTGCATATTTTATATGTACTCTGATAATTATACTTATGTGTACCTGTACCTAAATATACTTACACACTGTGCTGGTGTGCAGGTACACATTAAAATCGCTAAGTCTCTCTCTACTCATGACGCCAATACTATGTAATAATAATCACTCTTGGGCACACTAAATGTCTTATTTTACATCAATATAGGCATTTTCATTAATCCATCTATGATATTTTCCTCAAAATTATATATGAAACCCATTACATAGCATATAAACATGATACATACACTCAGAATAAAAATTGATGTAAATATGAGATTTGTTTACAAAGCAGCTGTGTAGGTATTGTCGGAAGAATTACGTTTTCCCTAGTCAAACACTGGGGGTAACTGTAGAAAAATATTCTTTTCGTATGCCCTTACTCTATGTATAGCAATTCACGACCCTTGTGGGTTTAGTGTTTTTTATAATAATAATAATAATAATAATAATAATAATAATATTATTATTATTAATATTAATAATAATAATAATAATATTATTATTATTATTAATAATAATAATAATAATATTATTATTATTATTATTATTAATAATAATAATATTATTATTATTATCATTATTAATATTATTATCTTCATTCACTCTAAAAATGGTGTGTTGCTGTTTGTTTATTCTGAACTAACTTGTACAACTTGTACACAATGTAAGAGTATTTGTATTGTGAGGTAATTATTATTAAAATAAAAAAAATATTGAGGTAAATGTTTTACAAACTCTTACAAATGGATGTGAATGAATTAAAAGTAGACACACATTAATACGCATTTCGCCTGACCAAGTGATCGTCCACTACCTGTTCAGTTTGTGTTCTTACATTGTCTCAACTCTGTATCTTGTTCTCTCTCTCATTTACTCTTTCATTAACTAGTTGGCTCTCATTGACAATGGCGTCTAAGGTTAGCTGTAATAAAAAGAGAAGTCGTAAGCCTCTTGCTTTAAGTGCCAAGTTAGAGGATGATGGTGTGCCATTTTGATTTTATTCAATAAACACCCTGCCACTCACCTATCACACATTAATATTAATATTTTAAGGTAAGTAATAAGTGTACTCTGTGTGTATCTTACCTTATATTGCATTTTTAATGCCTATTTCTATTGCTAACTTTATATAAGTTAGTGTAAACTTGTTGTCTGGCATTTATTGCATATTTTATATGCTCTGATAATAATACTTGTGGAGCCGGGTGGAGGGACAACATTACATTTTCTCTGTTCAGCCATCAGAGAAAACGTGTATGAATCTGTGTTTGGCCCAGCCACTCTCCCACTCCGCTTTTGTTTACAATTTTCGGCATGAATTATTCATTACTTCTACCTTCGTTTATGATGGCATCTAAAGGTAGTTGTTAGAAATGATTAAATTCAGTGAACAAGGCATGTCAATGTTAATAATATGGCTCTGGGCCACAGTGTAGGTAGCCGGTAGGTGTAGCCCAGGCTACACCTACCGGCTACCTACACTGACTTTATACAAATAAATACTACTCACCTCTCTTCCTATATTAAGACTACACATATTTTAAGGTAAATAATGAGTGTACTGTATGTGCATTTTACCTCTCTGGGATGTTTTAAATATCGTATATTAAGTATGAGACGGGGAGCCAGTGCTACCTACACCTGGGCTACCTGCACCTGACTTCCTACAAATAAGTACTACTCACCTCTCTCCCTACATTAAGATTACAAATACTTTAAGATAAGTAATGAATTTACTGTGACTGTGTGTTACTTTGTGTGTGTTTTAATGCCTAGTTCTATTACTAACTTAATATAATTTAGTGTAAACTTGTTGTCTGGCATTTATATGCATTTATAAATGGAAAAAATGGAGTTCTGCCTTCCGGCGATGTCTGCTTTCCGGCGACAGCCCGGACCCTAACCTGCCGTATAAGTGGAGCCCTACTGTACTGTTATATCAAGCAACAATGCCAACATCAATTAAAAACTCCATTAAATTAGCAAGATCAAAAGACTCCCCTATAAGTTCCCTGAGGTCTCTACAGGCCCCTTGATAATTATAAAAACCATTATGAAGGTGGCATGGCCTAAGCCATAAGCAAACCATTAAAATATGATTCACAATCAGCAGCTTATCACAAGCTACACAGGGAAGGAAAGGGCATACACACTATGACTTCTCGAGAGAATCTAACTTATTACACGAAGTTTGACTTTCCTCTTAGCACATGAGCCCATCCTTCAGTTTTCTTTCTATGCAATTTCTCCTCCACCACATAGTACTGTGTGAACCACATGGGTTTAGCTCTGTTTTGTGAATATAATGATAGCGTGGGTGAGAAAATTAATGGTAACCAACACTAAAGCTGTAGAATTTACAGGCTGAATAACGAAAAATAGTACTAATGAATCTCTGACAAGCACTAATTCCCTATATGTTATTTATAAGGAACTTACAGTTCATATGAAAGATGAGTATGAGCAGTGGAGAGTGTGGACAAGACAAACCTACTCCTCTGAAAACTGCAGGAACTTTGAAGTAGGAAAGATTTGAAATTCTAACTGTAAAAAATCACGAAGTAATATGGCAAAAGGCTAATAAAATTTTTTAAAAGCATTTTCTGGCTTTATGCTAGAAAACAAATCAAAAATCCCATTATAATGAATTTTTTGACAAATAGCTCCTTAAAAAAAACACCTAAACTATTTAGTCAATCGACGCACAACTGATCTCAGAAATTTTTTTCTACCTTCCCAGAGTACTGAAAGAATATTCTGCCTCGCACCATAAGGGAAGGTGCAAAATAATGCTTTATTTACTACACAGTTTTCCCCCTTTTTTTTTATAAATGCACTCTTTTTTAAAAAAACACTGACTCTGACTCCACTCTCGTGGCCCCTGTATCATCTTGTATGTTTCAAGATGGCAACCCAAGAGAGCTTAAAATTTTAGTTTGAGGTGATTCTCTAAAACTCAATTCTGTCATTTTTACTGTTTCAATGGCATTTTCCTAACTTCTTCATCTTTCTGATATGGGGTTTGTTACCCAATGCTTTATCTGATAAGTTTAATTTTCTTTTAAATTGTACCCCAAATTATTTCTTAAATAAAAAAATTTTATTTATTTTTTTATTTAGAAAATTTGATCACAGGGTACAAAAATCTTCCATCAAACTTTCAAAATATTTAACCCCTTTGTAAAATTTTAACTTTTAAATACAGTGGGGCCCCCGCTTTATGGCATCGCTAATAGGCTATTTCAAATTATGCCCAAAAAACTTGCTGTAAAAAAAAACTCCCTGTTTTTTTTAATACAACGCCCCAGGGTTTGTTTACATTTCCGGGGCCCAATCTTTATTATTTTGGGAAAAATTTTTCCAAAAATTTAAAGTGTTTTAAAGTTAATGCATACATAGGGCCCCCCTTTCGGCGTTTCACTTTTCGGCGTTCCCCCTAATACGGTCATTTCAAATTTTGACCAAAATCGCTATATGGTTCCCCCACCGATTTTAAAAAGGTCACCGTGCCCCCCCGTTTGTTTACATTTTTCGGAGCTCGTAAGCACTAAGTCTCTCCATTTTGTCGGGAAACTCAAAATTTAAAATTTTTTAAAAGTTATTTTATTTTATATTACTTATAATTATACATGTATCCCTGTATAAATAAATTACTTTGCTGGCATGCGGTACACATTAAAATGGGTAAGTGTTTAGTCTCCAGACGTCATATTATAATGATAATAATAATCCGAGTCATTTAAATGTCTTTATATTACGTTAATATCACATTTTCATTAATCCATTATTTTTTTTTTTTTAAAAATTTTAATAAACCGAGCAAAATATAAAAAAGATAAAAACCCCACAGAAATAAAAAAACTAATTGGGGAAATGGGGTTGCAAAACGACTTGCACAAGGAACCAAAAAAAAAAAAGATAATAATAATAACAACAATACCACCGAGTCTCATTAAATGTCGATATTACGTTAAAACACTTTTTCTTTAAATCCATCCATATATTTTTTTCAAAATTATTAAAAAAACACGATAATAACTAAAAGATGAAAATACCCCCCCACAATAAAATAAAAAACATAAATAAAGATGGGGAGCCAGATAATTTGTACAAGGATGGCAAAAAACATTTTCTCAAATTAACAAAGAGAAAATGTGGTTACGGGGGGAAACTGTAAAAAAATATTCCTTTGTAGTATGTAAGTAAGTTTATTTAGGTAACACAAATTTCAGTTACATAGTTTATCATCAAAAAAACATTTGTAGAGAACCGGAAAACCCCAAAAAAGTCGTGTGACTTATTTCCCATTGCCTTCACCAGGCTTCATTTTTTTCCAAATGATGTTCATGAGATGGAGTGTCTTCTTTATTAATTCTCCCGTATAAATTAAAAACCTGTACAAATGTAACTTGTACACAAACCAGACTGTACACTTTTTTTACAAACTTTACCTTCGCCTGGTTTGTTACATAACCTGGCCTGCCCCTTCATGTACTCATTCTTTCTCTTTCTCATTTTTTCGTTTTATCTCGTTTACTTTTTCCTGACCCCTACATTAAAAACTACAAATATTTTAAAGGGAAATAA